CTGGGATTCATGCATGTCCTAGTCTGCAGCTTTGGAATGTCAGCCAGACTCTCCTGGCCATTCAAAACATTTTACTGAAGCCAGTCTCAGTGCTTACAATCTCGAAAGGTAACAAAACTTTTTTTTTCATTCTTCCTGAGTTCTAGTCTTCCGCTCACAGAAATGCTCCACAGACAGACCAGGGATTTTTTTTTCCTTTTTGTTCCTGATGTTAATTATAAGCAGAGCAGCAGGTTGGTGAGATTATTGAAGGTCAGTATGTGTCCTGGGAATACTCTGCCCTTTTGTACACTTCTCTAATCCTGATAAGAGTGGGAGTGGGCTGAGGCAGGGTGTGGGGCAGGACGGAGATGGGTGAGGCGCTGGGCTGGCATCAGGCAGATTAACCTTTTCCCCTGGTGCTGACACATGGATCGATAGTCTCTGTCATGGCAGTGTGATCCACTCATGCTTGTCATTCACACACACACACACACAGACGCGGGTCTAAGCAAACAAACTGTGCCACATACCAGCACTTGATCAAACAATTTCACTTCTGCCACTGTAGAAACCAACAGAATATGCTCAGATTTATCTTTCAACTACAGTTCTTCCCGACTGGGTCTGAAAGTCTTTCTTCCAATTCCAAGCAGGATGCAGTTGTGAACTAGTCGCAGGCAGACCTTCAGATCTTGAATTTACCTTTGACCTCTATATACTGTATGTATGTATGTAGACTATTTACAGACCTGTGCTTAAAATGTTGTGTCTACAACAAATTCTTTCTCATTTACCGAAGATGACGACGTGACCACAGAACATCACAGATGTCGTTAACTTTTCATGGCTGTATACAGTCTAATCATAATCCTCAAAACCATTATATTTTGAAAGAAATAGTGTCATAGTTATGTTCTTTGTGAGTCTGCTGCACCATCAGCTCCAAATATGTTGAGTTCATGGCCAACTAACCGTCCGCCAAGAGGACGGTGTGAGCTGATCTTGCATGTTCTTCACAGGATAAATCTCCTGCTCCTGGTCTGTCTGGCTATAGGTCAATGTATACTCCATTGGACACAGTCTTAATCTATATATTTATCTATAGTCTACACATACTCTTCACCATCCATCTCCTCTACCTTTCTGTTGATAGCTGTCCCAGCAGCACTTCAAGCCTCCCCTCTCCCTGCTGATTGCTTTAGTCTTGCAGAGTTAATTTGAAGGCTTGTGTAACCTCTCTTATTCTGTCTCACTCCAGCCAGCTAATCCCATCAAACACACTACTCATGTCTGCGGCTCCCAGATGTCAATTTCAATGCCAGCTCTGCAGCCAGGGGTGCAGCGCTGCTGCCCTGTATTCATGCTCATCTCGCGCAGCAAGCGTAGAGTCTAATGAGACTACCAGGGTTGGAGGGCTCTGCTGGAGGACTCCATTAACAAGAGATCAGCCACATGCACAGCAAATCACTCAGGTTAAGTTAGCACAGGAGACACATTTGCTAAATAGTGGTCATTTCTGATCAACCAAGGGACCAGAAGAGTGCTGAAATGAGTTTGATTTAAATAGTACATTGTTCTACATAAGATAACAGTTCCCAAACTTAAACATATTGTGGTACTTGGTAAACTTTAAAAGCAATAACTTGGTGCAAGTAGATATTTATAAAAACTACTTAATGAAGTCAAATCCATGCATTGGTGACTTGGGATGAAATATTACTGTTGATGTTATATTAAATGCTTATGTTAGCAGGTTAGTGTGTAACTTTCAAAGATATAAGAAATAATGAAACAGAACAAACAAACATCCAGTACAAACACTGCTGATTTACTGCTGTAAACGGTCCTTTATCACGTTGTTTACATGTCACGGCCGGTGAGTTTCAGGCTTCACTCTATAATCTACAGTCTAGATTGTGAGTTTCATATCCAGTGCATGTGTACAAATCTGACCCTGGGTTGTTGTCAGTCGTCACTGACTTCCTCAGATATAACCAGTTCTGAGCTTAACGCACCATAATTCAAAGTCACGTTGTCCTCCGTTTGTGGGGAAAAAAGCCCATTGGGTTTGAAACCCCATCAACCATTCCTGTGACAGACAACCTCATCACTCCGAAGACATCGCTTTATCATTCAAACTCGCTCTCTTTTCTGCTGGGATAATGGCTTCCTTCTTCTGTTCAGACAACACCTTCACATCGCTACACCTGCGGGCATCACAGGGCTGCCAGCCGTGCTTTGGGCCAAACAAACTTGTCTGGACTCACATAGCATCTGTTTGTGTCCCAGTCTTGTACGCCAGTTGTGACAAATACTTACTTGTATGTCGACACATCAAGGGTGAAAAGTTTAGGTAAATCAATTGTTGCCTGTGGCCATCAGATGGTGCTATGACAAAAATATTGGTGTGTAGACTTCTTCAGGACTAGACACTGAACTGAGGTTGCGTAGGTTTACTTCAGTTTTGCATCGATTTAGGTTTCATGAACCTTCACTTCTCTGCAGTGGAGCAACAACGAGGAACATGAAACTGTTGACATTTAATCTCATGTGTCATTAGATGGCACAGGCCATGGTGTTGATCTCCAGAATGTGGAATAGAAAATGTATTAAAATAAAGGGTCCACCGTCTGTAATTCACTTTGGACTAAAAAATAAGCTTTATTTTCCAACAAAATATAGCCATAGAGCTAGGGTTGGATGCAAATGAACAACCAAACTCCCATTACATCCATGTCCCACTTCTATAGGTCATACCAGGATAAGGTTTTTCTATAGAGTTAACGGCAGCCACGGCATCTCTTAAATGGGATACTGATTTTATTTATTTTTTTCTATCAACTTGGCAGCACATCTCTTAAATGGGATATTGATTTTATTTATTTTTTTCTATCAACTCTTTGAATGGATCTTCTTACTTTGTAAATTTATTATAATTTAACGATGATCTGAGTCGGCAGGTTAGTGGAACAGCTTTGACTCATTAAAGATGAACAGATTCTACATAACTGTACAAACACTACGGTTTCTACTGTAAAAAAATAGTAAATTTTCATGTAGGAGGATCATAGCAGCAAGCCCATTTGTTACACACGCCTATAAATATTTAATATTACTACAGTCTGTTGACTGTACTGAATATGAAAAGGTCCAATTTTTACGAATCTAAAACAAAATTGTTTATATTTACCTTCGTGTGGATCATACACCCAGGACTGTGTTTTTCTGCTCTGCATTTAATATGGGAAAATTTCAAGTAACTATAACGTGCAAAGCGACATGAAGGTGTGATCAAACACCCCCGTTGTGTAAACACCATCAGAATTGCCTATAGCCGGCTCTAACCTTCCTCTACAGCCATTTGAAGGTGAGCTCGTTCAAGCTGTTCCATAAAATTCCATCATTTACCATCTGTGGCTGAACGTTGGTCAGCAGGGGAAATGGCTGAAAGAGTCAGTGATGCAAGGAGCTATAATCTGTTCCCCAGCTACCCTGTTGTTTATTCTGAAAAAAGAAACGGACAGGAAGGAAAAGAAAAGAAAGAAAAAGAGACCAAAGAAACAAATGGACCCATCTCCTTCTTAAAGCGGTGCTTTTCCAGCTCATTTATCAAACACAGAAGAAGAATTCTTTTTGATTGGCTGATTACCAGGAGCATTCATCACTGGCTGGCGTTTCTCCACCGATTTGACACTGACTCTGACTCTGGTTAATTTGTTAGGAAAGACAAAGAGGTCATTGTTGCCCTGGCTTCTCTTTGACCTTTTTTAATATTAGAAAATAAATTTTCCATTGGAAACAAATGTATTAGCTACTGTCACTTCAGCCAGATGCATTCTGGGCCCTGAAATCTTCCCTAATCACCCTGCTACTCTGACATGGACAGCTCTACCTCTCTCCTCGTCTCCTTTTGTCTCAGCAACAACAGTCAGGTCTGCCTTGTTCTTGAAACTGAGCAGCAGTATGTGTGTGTTTTCTCCAACTCTGTGTGTGTGCACTGTAATGTCCTTTGGTGCCAACCATTTCTGATCCATTTCTCAGATTTACAGCTAATTTTTCCTGTCGTAGCTATGCTGCTTCAATCTCTACATCACTCTGCTCCCCCATTCTTCCCTCACTGGAAGCTGAATTGACAGCTTTTCAGTAGAAGATAGCGCTGACACCTTCACACTTTTTTTTTTAAAGCTTAAACTTATGTAAATTTTTCCCACACCTCGAATGGTATTTCCAAACTCCCACTCCTGATACTGTCTTTTCACATCCCCTCTTCCTCTGCCTTTTCTTCTGGCAGGCCCCACCAACAGATGTGGCACTAACAGTCCTGAAGCAGAGGGCGCTTCATGTGCCCGTTCAGCCTGATTACAAGTCACCTCTGTGTTAATAAACAGACAAATACCACCGTCATTATGAGATCACAGAGCAGACTGGGGGAGTGGGCGGGAGGGGGGTAATAGACAAGGTTTTTGTCAACATCGCTCACCCTTGAAGCAGGTCATACCTTCTGCCATGTTCTCTCACTGCTACATCATTATCATCATACATTAAGAGGTCAGGGACCGTGTGATCCTCATGGTGTTCTCATCAGAAAACGTTGGTGAGAGTTTTCCTTTCATTTCATTTCACAAAGGTATATTTAATATCTACTCAGTCTATGAAGTGACATCTGATTTACCAGACTTTGGATGAAGCAAACAAACAGGATGAAGAAAACAATACTGTTTGGCTCAAACGCACATGGGTAAACTTTGAGTAACCATGATAACATGTATAAGTCACAGTGAAACTATGTGAAAGGGTGGACTTTCTCACTTTACTTTGTACACTTTCTACACAAGATTCAAATTGAATTAACTTATTTCAAGCAATGCTACTAATGCTAACAGTCTAAGACTTTTCTGCTTGATAAGAATTCTTGTAAGAAGTCCAACGGTCTGACCATTAATTGACTGAAATAACTTCCTACAGTAATACTGGTTTATTGCAACTGAGAATTAGCATTTTTAGTAGGAATAACATAGCAACACTTTCCACACGCAAGATTTTCTTTTGTATAATGTTTGATCATTTTGAAGAGTTAACAGTACTTCTTTTGTACAAAGCTAATTTACTTTCACATTAAAATTTCCCACATTCCCATGTCTTTTTTCATGGAGAATTTTACTGTCTGTCTTGTGCTGACAGTAAGATCCCACAGCTGTTCGTCTTTCCCTTCTGAAGCTGTACTCCTGCTGGCTGCTGATGCCTTTATTCAGAAGCTTGTAATCAGCTTCTTTCCACCCTGCCTAATGATAAGGCATTGGTTTATGCCCCCCCCCCCCCCCCCCCCGCACCCTGCTCTTATTAATATGCAGGAGATAAATACTTGTCGAACCAAATTCATTTGCTTGACCTTCCAAATCTCCACTAAACTGTTTGTGGCTGTGGCTGACGCAAGTTCACCACAAGTTTAGAGATCCCTGCAGTGAGCTGGCGCTGTTGTTTCTCAATATGCGGTCTAATTTGGATGGCCCCCCTCTCCATCTCTCTCTCTCTCTCTCTCTCTCTCTCTCTCTGTGTGTCTTTCTCAAACTGTCTTCTAACTTTCATTCAGCATTCACTGTTTTTAATTGCCCCTAATTGCTTAATTACAATTTCAAATGAACAGCTCTGGAGGTCGGAGTGATTCCTAATTGAAGCATCAATCACAGTGGTCGGACCCTCAGAACAGTCCCCTCTTGATTGACAGGACATTAACTAAGCATTGTTGTATTCTTGGACATGACATTGGGAGGACTCTGTGGCTGTTACTTCTGTTACTTCTGTTACTGATGCGGCTGCTGTCGATTTCTAGAGGAGCAAACGTTACAGAGGAGACTAGGACAGGCTCCTAAACCACACTCACCTTTTTATACTTTAAATTTATTTCTAATTATTTTTAATATTATAATTTTTTGTTTATAATAATTAAAATAACCATGATAATAATTATGATAATGATTAAGAAGTTGTTCCTTAATCCCACAATGGGAAAATTCACAATTTGTGACAAATACCGGTAATATGATTTCATACATTTGTAGTACATTTTGACGCATGTGTAGAATGACATGTCTATGCAATAGTTCCATCTACTTATCTCTCTGACACACAGTCAATCCACACATTGTTATTTTATTTTGGAGTCCAGTTAGGGGCCGGATTAGGCAGTCCACTGGGGCGGATTCAGCCCACAGGCCACAAGTTGACAATCAATATATTAAGACATTTGTCTTTTGTTCCAAAACAAACGAACAAATGTTTGTTGTATATTAGGGAAAGTCAATTATTTTTCTCAATTGATCAAATCTTGACTGGATAATCAGATTACAATTTTTAATAGTTTGACAGCCATGCATAATGATTATACTGATGAGTGAGACACAATAATAATGCTGCCAGATTAGAGGAGCATTATGGATATGTAGTTCATCTGGGACTTGAACCCAGGACCATCTGTATGTGTCTGTAGCCGTGCTACAAAAACTAAATCATCATCATCATCATCATCATCATCATGATGTCACTCCCACAGTTACCCCCTGTGTCCTTCTGTAACCATGAGCCAGCCTGTTGAACTCAGCTACACTCTGTCTGACACTTTTGATCACCTGCTCGTCCTTGGCCAATTCCCCCACCTCTCCTCCCCCCATTTTATCATCCTCTTCCCACCAAACCTCCTCCTCTGAGGGGTAGACTAGGTAATTATTAGGCAGCTTTTAGACTCTGATTTGTTGGTTGGACCTCCTTCCTCCTCTGCCAGATGGAGCCTGCTCTGGCTTTTTTTTTTTTTTTTTTTGCCATCTAAACTAAAACCTCACCCCGCCTCCCATCCCCTCTACTGTTTCCTTTGCTGCATTTAGCTTCTTTTTTTCCCCACCTCATCCTCTTCTCTCTGTTTTATCTTTTCCTAATGTTTCTCTCCTCAGCCCTCCTTCCTCCCACTGTCCTCACCTCCCCCATCTTCTCCTGTTGCTGTTCCTCTCCTCTGGGGCTCCATCCATCAGGTTGTCGGGGGCTGCTAGCGGCCGACTCCCAGCCACCATATTTCACTGCCAGCCAGCCAAGCAGCTGACAGCACAGCCACCGCCAGGAAATTGCTTTGGCTGTGAGCAGAATTTCAAACACAGGCACACTGCGTCATCCAGGCCGCCCAAGCGCCACTTCTCTTTCTCTCCTTCTGAAGATTCTGTCACTCCCTCTAAACACATCTATATGTTTTTCTATATCTATCATTGTCCTTTTCTTTATCTGTGTTGGTCTTGGTGTACTTTTTCTCTGTTTGCTCTTTTTTGCTCTATTTCCCGCCCAGGTTTTTATTTTTTTCGTCCTTCTCTGTTTGCTCCTTCATGGCCCACTGTCCTCTGACAGACATGCAGAACCATATGCCTTCTTACATCTCAGTGTCTTATGTTTGTTTTTTTTGCTCTTTTCCACTCCCACTATCTTTCCTTCTCTTATTTTCCCTTCCCCCC